TCCTCTTTATCTCTCAATGAAATATAACAAGATTATAGATACATGCAAAAAATAAGCAAACAGTACAAATGAGATGAAATTACCATACTTTAAATGACTTCATAAGCTTTATCCTTCTCTTTCACAGTAAAAAATAATAATACTAATAATTAATAGAAATGCTTTAATGGGTTTAAGGTGAAGGAATTAAAAATAAGTGGAAAGATTTCCATTTAAAATTATGAAGTTGAATATTCTCAATAAAGAGTAAAGTTGCAAATTCCATTCAGAAAATTGAAATTTTCAATTCAGTAATTATATATATATATATTGAAGACATACTAGTCTCTAGACCGAATATTGTAAAACCAAGATGAGAAGAAACAAACATGCATGACATAAAGCTTTAAATTCTAAGAATAAAAAGTCACTATGGAGATTATGTGTTAATTCCAAAATTGAGAAAGAAAATATGACAAATGTGGAGAATCTTTGTTTAAAATAACTGAACTGATTCTAATTTCTACAGGTTTCTATGGTATTTCATTGGGGAAACATATTTGAATGTTTTTAAGTGTAAAATAAAATTTATAAGCACACAAAAGTGGGAAAAGAAAATGTTTTTCCCTCTAATGTGAGACTTCTTTGAGACACACAGTGGCTTTGTTTTTCTTGTATAATTGAATTTCAGAGGTAAAAGGGGCCCTGTGTAAAATCTTTTTCCAGCATGAGACCATAGAGTTCCCACTGATCAAGCAGGTCCTCTAGCTCACCTGGGAGCCCAGGGCAGGATGGGAGCAGTGCTGATTGCAAGTCTTAGTCCCTGCTTCCGGTCCAGGTTCCTTTTCTGAATGTATTCCAGTGAAGCGTAGAATACAGGGTAGAAAGAAGAGAGTGGTTTAAGTGCCATCCAATTAATTTGCATACTTGAAGAGTAAAGGTCACTGGACTTGAAAGAAAACTTCAGCGTTGGTCATTCCTTTCTCTGCTCTTTCCCTGTTTCTCCTTCCTAAAAGACAGTTACCTACTCTTTATTAAATGTTTTGTAACACAATAAATGAGTTTCTGTTTTAATTATATAAATATAAAGTAAATATGTTAGTATTTATAATACTTTATAACACATTATACTATATATAATATATAGTCATAAAGTAAAAGTTGCTCAATTGAGTCTCACTGTTTGGACTGTAGCCCACCAGGCTCCCCGTCCACGGAATTCTCCAGGCAAGAATGCTGGAGTGGGTTGCCATTCCCTTCTTCAGGGAATCTTCCCAACCCAGGAATTAAACCTGGTTCCCCTGCATCGCAGGCAGATTCTTTCCTTCTGAGCCTATAATACAATTATAAATATAAAAATGAATACAGTCCCATCCTCAGAGATAAATAGCAAGGCTTGAAGGGAGAAGAACAGGAGAATGGAGAGTGAAGCAGAGTACGCCCTCCCAAAAACATACAGACACACACATACAAGGGAGTAGGAAAGTGACCTAGGAAAAGTGCTTTTGGTCTGTGAATTGTCACTAAATTTACTTGGTTTTATCCTACTGTTTCCTCTGTCTCTTAGCCTCTATTACTGCCTTTTCAAATGCAAATTAGATTCCCCTCTTATCACCAAGCTTCATTTGCTTTCCCACCTTATGTAGTTGGCACCCTGCTCTGCGTGGGAATGACACAGCAGCTCAATGGGGTGGAAACACTCTGTCCAACTTCAGCAGCAGTGACCAGAGAAATCAATTTATAATCCAATAGACTGACGCGGCTCCATCCTGGCAACAATTGCTGTTACTTGGGGAACTTTTTAAAATATACCCATGCCTCCCTTCACCCTTGACCAACTAAGCCAGAATCTTTTAATACTTGGTCCTTGGGGACCAGCACTTAAAAACAAACAAGTAAACAGACAGACTCTCTCCCGGAGGTTTCTAATATGTTACCAGAATTCCAAACCACTGGTCAAAGAGATTCTCCACTCTTGCATGAGGGTCTTGAAATTTACTGCAAAATATCTACTTGGAAATTTTGAAGGAAGCTTTGTCCTTTGATTTTCAAGTAACAGGAGGTTTTTTGTTTTTTAAAAAGTCTGGATATCCTTTTATTATTTTCATCTTTTATGCTTTCTTTCTGTTTTGATTTGATTTATTCTCTTAGCACAAATTGTCATAATTTGAGATTTCACATGTTGCTTCTTATTACCTATTTTACAGAAGTTCTGGAAGGTTTTGTTTGGCTTTGTACTTCGCTCTGTTCTTGGTTTAAAGTGTGTATTAAACTGAGATTGTTGCTGCAACAGGAGCAACAATTCTGATTCTGTGATTAGTTAATATGCTTTCTTTCTGGCAAACAGATGGTGAATTGAACGTAGAATTTTCTTTTGAGTAGCTGCTTGAGTGAGGATTTTATTATAAATACCACAGAAGGACTGCTCAATCAAAAGATTTTATGTTAAATGAAGACAAAAAGTCACAGCCAGAGTTGGCTATTTTGTCACAGGACAAAGAAGCTGTGTGTCTCCCTACCAGGTTATTCAATGGCTGACTTAGAAACAGTTTTTACTTTATCTAGAGAAAATAATCATAATTAAGTTGTCTCTTCTGAAATTGGCACTGTATTGTGTTTTTTACAAAAGTCAATAAAACAAGAGTGTTTAAAATATATCTTTCAAAAAATTCAAGTGATTTATTAACAAATACAGCTGTTGCCATCATAAAAGTTATTAACTCCCTTTCTCATCAGGCTAGGAATGATTTTTTTCTCTCACACATAGCATGTTATATTTATATAAAATATGAATAGTATTGATATAACATTTTTTGATTTATAAAAAATCTTGAAGGTTTAAGGATTTAAATAAAGTTGCCTTTTTAATGATGTACCTATCCTCACAGTTTTTTTTTTTTTATCAAGAACTTTGAAACCCTGACCTGTAACAAGTTTGAAAATTTTTTTCTCCAGGATTCTTAACTCCCTCCCCTTACCGTTGTACTGGATTGTGTATTTAATTCTAAGCAGTCCTTAAAGCTGGGCTCTAATTCACTTATTTTCCTTATTTATCTGTTACTAGTATACTCAGTCTGTCTGTCATAACATTGTCTCTTCTTATAATCAGTTCATCTGCTAAGGGATTGGTCAGTTTCTGTGTAGCCTCAGAGCCTTCAGCAGCACACTAGAAGTTCTTGGGTTTCTAAGTTCCTCATCATCCATATCATTCCTGGAGATTTATTATAGCTGTTTGCATATAAATATTGAGGTCTAGAAATTTCTGGAAACTGGTTGTTGCTGTTCACTACCCAGGTTGTGTCTGACTTTCTGCGACCCCATGATCTGCAGCACACCAGGCTTCCCTCTCTCTCAAGATCTCCCCGAGTTTGCTCAAACTCATGTCCATTGAGTCAGTGATGCCATCCAACCATCTTATCCTCTGTCGCTGCCTTCTCCTCTTGCCCTCAATCTTTCCTAGCACCAGGGTCTTTCCCAGTGAATTGGCTGTTCTGGAAACTTAGATAAAAATAAATGTTTTGTCTGTTTTGTCTCAGCTTTTAAATAATATTTAAATAAAGATTTGTGTGGCAAAGAAGAGTTACAGTTTAGAAGGGCTTGCTTCGGTGCATCTTATCAGAAGTTTTGATGAACTTCAGTGCATTTTGTGAGTGGTGTGGAATGTTTTGAGGTGAAGTGGATGTTGCTAATGTGATTCATCCTGAAAGATGGGTTGCTATCACAAAGGAGATTATGCACTTCTATCTTAAAGTAATATATAGTTTATTTACCTTGATTGTATGTTTCTGACTTGCCTCTCTGTTTCCAGGGGACAAGCATGAGAACCATCAAACCAGCTGCTAGGAAGGAAAGGAGGCATCCTGGGGTGTTAAGGGTAGTGAGGCTCGGGAGTGTTTAGGTGGAGATCTCTGCCTGCTTCAAGAGTGTCTGTTCTACGACCATCAAGTTCCCCTCTGCTTGTCTTGCCAGCTTCTCATCGCTGTTTCTGACTCTTGGCTTTCAACCTGACTTTGATTTCTATTTCCTTTGCTTGTCTTCTGGACTCTTACCCTGTCTTACCGCCCCATCCTATGGCAGCATCTTGCATTATGCCTGCCCTTTTCCTGTCTGAAAAGTGTGCTCTATTTCAGAAATTCTGCAAGTCCCACTGATGATAATGCTAAGTCGCTTTCGTCTGACTCTGCAGCCCCAGGGACTGTAGCCCGCCAGGCTCCTCTGTCCAAGGGATTCTCCAGGCAAGAATCCTGGAGTGGGTTGATGTGTCCTCCTCTAGGAGATCTTCACAACCCGGGGATCACGTCTGCTTCTCTTTTGTCTCCTGCAGCGGCAGGCGGGTTCTTTACCACTAGTTCTTTACCACTTGGGGAAGCCCAAGTTCTGTTGGTCTAGTAAATATTTAGGGTGGTCCTTGAAGTCTTGCTGTGTTTTTGTTGAAGTATGTGTGGCTGTATTATACTTCTAGGCTACAGAGAATGCCTTGTATTAAAGATGAACTAACTGCCAAACAGATTCAGCGATGATGAAATATCTATGATATGTTATTTGTATTTGTTATATGTTATTTGATATGTCAGTTGTATTTTTTTGGTAACAGGATAAACTAGTCGTATTTTCTCAAAGTTTCCCTCATGACTTAAAGCTGTTTCTCTCCCAATTATCTTTCCCATTTCTATAGAGGACAATGAAAAACTAACGAAAAGCTGTCTTTGGATTTTACTTAACTAAATTTTTATTAAAGAAAAATTGCTTTATTTCTTGAGTTGCTACATTTCAAGGTTTGCAAATATATTAAAATTCAAAAGTCGCTAAAACCACAGGGCCGCTTATTACTCTGAGTGACTCTTGTCTATTTTGGAGAAGAGCAGGGATAAGTAGAGCAGTATGGAGACAGTTTTTCTTATTCTGGCTAATGTAGCTTAGGTGCTATCCTTTGAAAGGTGGTATTTACACTTGACTGTAAGAAAGTTGAGTTGATCAGTCATCCAAATATTCTTTTTTTTTTTTTTTTTTCTAAATTACAGAATTGACTCCTGAGGAGAAAGCCCAAAAGATTGCCAAAGCCATGCGCAAGCAGTCTTCTGAAGTCAAAGAGAAGTGGGAAAGTCTAAATGCTATTACTAGCAATTGGCAAAAGCAAGTGGACAAGGCATTGGAAAAGCTCAGAGACCTCCAGGGAGCGATGGATGACTTGGATGCTGATCTCAAGGAGGCGGAGGCCGTGCGGAATGGCTGGAAGCCTGTAGGAGACTTGCTCATCGACTCACTTCAGGACCACATTGAGAAAACCATGGTCAGCATCCCTGCCTTAGATAAGGGGTTTTAATAAATCCTTTCCCTGGTGACTCAGAGGGTGAAGAGTCTGTCTGCAATGCAGGAGACCTAGGTTCGATCCCTGGGTCAGGAAGATCCCCTGGAGAAGGAAATGGCACCCCACTCTAGTATTCTTGCCTGGAGAATCCCTGTGGACAGAGGAGCCTGGTGGGCTACAGTCCGTGGGGTCAGGAAGAGTCAGACACTACTGAGCGACTTCACTTTATTGTTAAATATGACACAAATAAGGAGAGCCACATACATTACATAAATTGTTACAAAGGATTGTTACAGGGCCAACACTGTTACAACATCCACCAAAATTAGGTTGTAGAACTTTTCTAGACACAACAGATGTTTTCCATATGCCCCTCACCATCAGAACTCCCCTCCCCATCAAAACAGCCACTAAGGTGACTTTTACAATACTTTACTTTTATTTTGTGTTATACATTTTCACCCAGCTGTGAATCCCTGAGCAGTATAGACTTCCCTTTGAATCTCCAGATTTCCCCTCTATCTTTTATTTTCTCTGCAAGGTATTTGTTGAAGAAACTGAATTGTTTCCTTTATAGTGTTTTTTACAACCTGGATCTTACAGAATGGCATCCACATGATGTAGTCTGGCAGGTTGCTTTTTAAATGGGTGGTTGGATTTAGAGGTTTAATCAAAAGTGTACTGTTTTACTGGGCATTCTTTACCAACTATATCTTATTGTCGGAGTATATAATAAGGAATTACTTTAGCTATAAATTCTGTTTGTGATCACATATTTCCCAGAGTTAAGGATGTTGGACTTCTGGTCTAGATTCCCTTTGGCTCTTGTATTCTAGAACATATCCAGAAAAGAGATTAGTGGAGTTTAGGCAGTAAAAGACACAAGTAACAGATTTAGAATGTATTGGGATTTGTGACAAAGTAAAAGTCTTCGTCTCTCAGTCGTGTCTGACTCTTTGTGACCACATGGACTGTAGCCTACCAAATTCCTCTGTCCAGGAAAAAATACTGGAGTGAGCTGCCATTCTCTTCTCTAAGGGGTCTTCCCAACCCAGGGGCTGAACCAGGTCTTCTGCATTGCAGGCAGATTCTTTAACATCTAAGCCACCAGGGAAGCCATTGAGGTTTATAATAGCATAGTAAACTATCTGGGTTTCCCAGATGATGCTAGTGGTAAAGAACCTGCCTGTCAGTGGAGGAGGCTCAAGGGTTCCATCCCTGGGTTGCGAAGATCCCCTGGAGGAGGAAATGGCAATCCACTCCAGTATTATTGTCTGGAAAATCCAATGGATAGAGGGGCCTGGAGGGCTACAGTCCATAGGGCCGCAAAGAGACACCACAAAAGCAGCTTAGCATGCAGTAAACTATACAGTAGGTAGTCATGAAACAAAGAATAAATGGATGAAAAGTCAGACTGACAATATCATATTGTGATTGGGATTTTTATTGCAAAAGATACACATCTTTTGTGCACAGACTTTGGATAATAGTTTCCTTTTTGTTTTGCATGTGGTTGAATAGGAAAGAGAAGAAAGAGAAGAAAGGTCTAGGAAATAAACTGAATCCTACTCAGGCAAATTGCATAAGTAAATATATATGTGTGTATAGACACAGGAATAATAATAGCATTTATTGACGCTTAGTATGTGCCAAGAGCTGTTCTTTAGCCAGTTTGCATTGGTATCCTTTTTAACTCCCACACCAACCAAGCAAGCTAAGTATTATTATTTTACATGTGATAAAACTATAGATATTGCTTCATGCCCACACAGCTAGTAAATGGTGGGGTTTCATGATTACTTTCTTGCTCTTCTCTTTCATTGTAGAGAGCTCATTGATGTTACTGTCATTAAGCTCAACTTTGATCGATTATTTAAATTTGAATCTTTAAAGGTTACATATTGTATTTTAAACAAATTATTTATTATTTAAAAGTATTGGGGTCTGCCATCTTTCATGGTCAATATACATGTTTCCAGTGACCCTATGAGTTAAGTAGCCTTCTTCATGTAACTGTAGTATCCACAAATCTCAGTTAAGATAGCAAACTGAAAATACAACTTTTTAGGATAGGATAAGTTCTTTGGAAGGTGCACACTTCTTGTGTTTTAAAAGATGATTTTCAAACACTGAAAAATCTTTAAGCCAATAGATTACAGAAACTATGTTCTGTTGGTTTGCAAAACTGCCTTTTGATTGAGTAAGAATTTATCTATTTGAATTTGAAAGCATCAGTTTTTAATATGGGATGATTAATGTTGAGGGAAAAATGAAGTTATATCTGGCCTAAAAATTTGGGCCTTGTTAATCCCATTTGACTGAAGAAATTACCCATCTCTGCATCCAAATCCTTCTGTTTACATTTCTGCTTATGTGGGAAAGCTAGGAAAAATACAGTTAATATTTAAGACCAAGGATTAAAATATTTTAACATCTTACTAGGAAGAAAAGAAAATAAAACCTAGGTCTCTTTAAACCAAATAAATATATTCAAAGTTCGGCATGTTTCATATGTGCTCAAAGAATACTCCTGAAGTTATAGGCAGGTGAAAATAAGCTCTGATTATTGCTAAATATTATTAAATATACAAAAGCAACTGGAAACAAATATTTTAGGGTGATCGAATAATTTCAAGTTCCTAAATTATACTTAATCGCTCTTATCTGTTGGAGTACCCACCTCTGACAGCAGAAGAGCTCAGTTTCCCATCTGCCCACAGGCTGCTGGTCAGCACCTTTAACACACGCAGATGTTTTTGTTTTTATACCAAAGAAAACCACATAGAATTTTATTCTCCCATGGGAAAATGCAGCCAAATCATGATAAATTGGTTCTTTATATCAGAACACATAGCAGATCTGAAACCATTTTACAATTTGCTTTATTTCAGAAAGCCCGTTAGTTTGGAGCTCTTAAAACCCAAAAGATAAACTTTCTTAATGGAAAGATTCCTTGTTACCATAAAATACTGGATCACAAAAACAAAATTAAGCCTGAAATGCATTATTTGTCTAAGGGCTTTTAATGTTTTTACCTGTGGCTTGTAAGAAAAAAGCGTTATTTTTATGTAGCAAGGATAAAACTCTTTTCATCTCTAAGATCAAAAAAGATCTGTCTTGAAGTTATAATTTTTAAAGAACTTTCACCATTGTTTGAAATAAAACTGGTTATTATTTAAAATTATATAAATCTGAGAATATTTTCTAGCAGTTTATTGTTCATCTTTAAGGCCTTCAAAATACAAAGATATTGATTTTAAAAGCTGATTATTAGTGTGTGATATAAGGTCATCCTTGAAGAAAGCTTGCAAGATTTGAGTTCTGTAATTATTCTCAAACTGAATCTGAGGGAACTTGGGCCTTTTCAAAGTCCGGACTGAAAAATTCTCTTTTCCCACCCCTTTGTATGTTGCATGCTTCTTTATTACATATGAATTCTTTAGACCTATAATGTCTCTGTTGTCATACATCTTATTTTGTCATTGACCTGTATTTGTGAATCTGTTTATTTGTATACGTTCTGTCACCCATGAATGATCAACATCTGCAGTCGTGGAGAAAAACTATCATAACCTGAATTCCTTCCATGCAGCAGCAGTTCTCACATCTTCATGGGCTTCCGTTCTTCTGATTTTGAATTTTTTTTTTTTTTTTACTTTATGCTTGATTACAGAGTAATTTATTTAACCCCACCACTTCAATCATTTATTTACAGCTGAAATCAAATGTCTACCCAAAGCCTGACTTTGAAATGCTGGTGTCTTCAAGGTTCTGGTGGTATTTCCTTCTGTACGTTGACTTCTGTGCTCACTGTATCAGGTGTCATTTACACAGTTACCTCCAAGGTCTGTATCTTTCATCCTGTCTCTGGGCTCCAGATCTGTTCTTCTGACTCTCCAGCTTGTGCTTCATGTGGCTCTTGGACATGTTCAAGAATTTTGAAATATTAAAACGTATTCTCTGATTCTTTTTAAAAACAAAATTATATTAGTAATGTTATTTTGATGTTTACCAACCATAATGATTATTTTTAGCCTTTTCATGTTATAAAAAGAGGAACTGGGAAGCAGCTAAAGGTTTCCTTTTTATAAGCTTGAGGACAAAGTCAAATTAATATTGTGGCATTTTAATAAAACTTTATAGCATTCAAAAGCACTTTGACATCTGTTATTCATTAGCTAATCTTGGAGTGATGAAAGAGCAGAAGAAATGGGACTGAGAGACATATGCCTACTCTCTTAAGGGCTGGAGATTGCAAAAACGATGACACTTGAGAGCTTATTCTAATAGCATGTTCACAACACTTAATACCTGTATGTTTGGTACACAGTTAATATTTAGCATAACAAAGAATTAAAAATATTCAATTGTCTTTTAATATCCCACTTCTGTTCCTGGTGCTATATTGGCTTGTGTGTTGGTTGCTCAGTTGTGTCTGACTCTTTGTGACCCCGTGGAGTGTAGCCCACTAGACTCCTCTGTCCATGGGATTCTCCAGGCAAGAGTACTGGAGTGGGTAGCCATTCCCTTCACCAGGGGATCTTTCTAACGCAGGGACCGTACCCCGGTCTTCCACATTGCAGGCAGATTCTCTACTGACTTAATCTTGCCTCAGATACCATTTTTGAACCTTCATCATTAGAAATGAACTCTGCCCCTCTCTGATTACTAACTTTGTGCTGAGTACTGGAGAGTGTCTGTTCTCAAGAAGCTTCCATTATATGGAGGGAGATATTAAAATATGAATGCTTACATGACCAGGAACTAAGAGCTCTGATAAGAAATAGTATGTAAAATCTATAATCAGTGGTTCAAATGGCATAAAACAATAAAAAATGCCTCCACTGTAAAATCTGATTTGTGTGTCCAGAGATATGCAGCTTGGAAACCCTGGCTGAGTTAGAGATGAGGGCTAGAAAGCTGGTGAACTCAAGGGCAGGGCCTTCAACAGGACTGGAATAGGAAAGGCGTCTGGGAAGTCTTCTCAACAGGTGGGGCACTCCAGTGAGACTTTCAAGTGATGGATGGGATCTAAGCAAAACTTTATGGGAAAAAAGATACATGAACATAGAGGGGGTTGAAATTATGTGGAGAGAAGGGAAAAACTTGGTGTTTTCATTATTTTGTTGTTCGTTCTTACACGACATATCACAGTCACTAAACCCAAATATTTTTTTTTTGTTTTATTTTTCCCTCTTGACATACATCCCTTCAACCTCCACCTGTACGAGGTCTCTTACTCTGCCCAAAACTGTCGTTTGTCAGTTCTAAGCTTCATTTGCCTCTTTTCTGATAGACCCTGCTCTTCCTTCCCTACCTCTAACCACAAAGAAAGGTCATAAATGACTTTGAAAGAGAGAGCACTTACCTCTTGAGTATATAATAGGCATGGATTTTATGGTTAGGAAAGCTTTTTATACTGGCCACTTTCTAACTTAATTTTAAATAGAGACATTTCAAATCGAGCTGTTGCATCAAGAGAAAAAATATTAAAGTATATGTATGAAAAAATGGAAAACATGAAAGAAAGTTAAAGATAAAATCCAGCCTAGAAATTAGTAAAATGGATAATAATGTTTTCCAGACTAAATAGTATAAATGGAAGATTTGAAGGAAGTACATAATCATTTAAATGAGTTTATGTAACAAGTTTTCTCTTCATACGTCTGTTTATATTCTCTGGCTTATATAAAGGGGGACTCTAGCTGGTGGACCTGGTTGCTCAAGACCTCAGTCAAGTCACTTGTTGAGTGAGCAGGTATCATAGATGACTTCTCGGCTGATCTTGGTGTTTTATTTATTTATTTATTTAGAAAATATGGAATACTAGCTTTTGTTTTATTTTTTTCTGATGACATTATTCTTATCTTTTCTCCTAGGCATTTAGAGAAGAAATTGCACCAATCAACTTAAAGGTTAAAACAATGAATGATTTATCCAGTCAACTGTCTCCTCTTGACTTACACCCGTCTCTAAAGATGTCTCGCCAGCTCGATGACCTTAATATGCGATGGAAACTTTTGCAGGTGTCAGCCGATTCCTCTTCATAATGCAGGCTTACACCTTGGTCTTTAGGCCCTACCTCACTGTTCCACCACTCACCATCCTTTTCTCTGTCTTTATGGGTTGTATTTAATAATGGATTTCTAGCATATGATGACATTAGTTATTTGTCTTTCTGTACCTTGAAACCAAAGGCCTCATTTAGTTTTGAATATAGATTTTAATGTAATTTTATAGCATTCTCTTCATAGGATTTTTGTAGAAAATTGCAAAAGGTCAAATAAATCACAGTAATTGAAACCTATGGTAGGTCACAGAAACATTCTTTCCATGATGGCTCATAAAGGAGTCATTTTTCTTACTTGAATCGTGTTTTTTTTTTTCTTTCTTTTGAAAAGTTAAGAAAGTCTCCATCCTTTTTCTGTTGCTTGCTTTTCATGTATCTTGCTCATTTTTTCCAGCTAGCACACTTTAGTATAATGGTATTTACCTTTAGCTCTTAGATCTTAGTTGCTATAATGTAGTTGTTTTAATGTACTTGAGCATTTCATTTTTAAAAGAGTCAAACCAGGAAGAATATTGTTGAGTGTTACTAAGTATCTGCAAGTCACCACATGTTCCAGTCAGTAATTTTTGGCTCAGTCTTTGTAGAGCTTTGTCACATTGAGTATCCAGTTTCTAGGAGTCATAATAATAATTTTTTCCCCTGAAAAGTAGTGGGATAGTTTAAATGAAAAGTGAAAGTGAAGTTGCTCAGTCAGGTCTGACTCTTCCGGACCTCAAGGACTGTAGCCTACCAGGCTTCTGCGTCCATTGGATTTTCCATGCAAGAGTACTGGAGTGGGTTGCCATTCCCTTCTCCAGGGGACCTTCCCAACCCAGGGATCGAACCCAGGTCTCCCGCATTGCAGGCAGATGCTTTACCCTCTGAGCCACCAGGGAAGCCCCAGTTTTAGTGGAAGATTGAAAAATAATAATGCTTACTAGTCTCTCTATATGTTTTGGATCTAAATTGAAGTGATGTTTGACAAGATAAATATGCAATTTTAAGGTAGCACATAAAACCATTTTATTTTAGAGGTATAATATTTTATAGCATGGTAGGTCCTGAATAAGTCCTGTGGCCCATGAAGTGTTTTTAGTTGCTCAGTCATGTCCGTCTCTTTGTGACCTCATGGACTGTAATCCGCCAGGCTCCTCTGTCCATGGAATTCTCCAGGCAAGAATACTGGAGTGGGTAGCCATTCCCTTCTCTAGTGAACCTTCCTGACCCAGGGATTGAACCTGCATTGCAGGCAGATTCTTTATCATCTGAGCCACCAGGAAAACCCCATGATAGGTCCTGAATTAATTCAGCTGTTGAAACACCTAGTGGTTTATATTTTCTTCATGAGATGGAATAGGTTATAATTGAGTATATAGTATTAAACAGTCTTTTCTGTCTTTGTAAAGAATATTAATCTGGGATTAGGTAAGCAGGATCTGTTAAACTCATACATGCTTTTCTACTGAGTAGGACAGAGAAGCATTTGACTTTTACTCTATTTCATTTGATTCTGCTTCATTTCTCCAGTTCATTGTCTTCATACTGGTATTGCTGTGTCCATCTTGGTTCCCTTGTCACTCTGCTTCTGTTGTTACCATCTGCAAAGATTAGAAGTCAAGGAAAATGTTATGCATGAAAAAGTTATTCTTTCGTCCTGATCTCTGGGCTTGGTAACCACTATAGCTCAGATGTTGCTGCTGCTGCTAAGTTGCTTCAGTCATGTCCGACTCTGTACAACCCCACAGGACAGCAGCCCATCAGGCCCTTCCATCCCTGGGATTCTCCAGGCAATTACACTGGAGTGGGTTGCCATTTCCTTCTCCAGTGCATGCATGCATGCTAAGTTGCTTCGGTCGTGTCTGACTCTGTGTGACCCATGGACAGCAGCCCACCAGGCTTCTCTGTCCACGGTATTCTCTAGGCAGAATACTGGAGTGGGCTGCTCAGCTGTTAGTTGCTGATTAAATATGAGGAGCTCAATTTATGCTAGCTGAGCGTGGTGTTAAATTTCAAGAGTAGCACCTTGTGCTCTTCAGAATGTAAATGTGTGGCATTTGATTGCTTTTGGTCACAACAAACCAAGTACCTGCTAATGTAATTTTGATAGCTAGCCAGGAAAAAAATGGAGGTATCCAGTGAGCCAGAGACACACGTTCCATTTAAAGGCAGCTGAAAATAAGATTGGCAAACTAAGTGAAACACCTGACTAGCACTACTAGACAAAGACCAGGAAAAGGAAATGGAAATGTCAGGAGGTTGTGTGCCATTGTTATTGATTTGCAGTTAATTTCTCAGGGTGCCAAATCTGCATTTTCAAAATGTAGAGAGCTAAGGCTGTGTGTAAACAGATATATAGAGTGTATTATTCACCTGGTGTCTACCTGAATACTCCCAAGTCAAGATGATAAATATGAACTTGGAGGAATATAAGTCATTCCATATTTATATGTCCTTTCACTCTCCATCTATATCTGTCATGTCTTATCATCATTATCATCTATTTTTTTCCCTTGGAATATTTTAGACTCTTTTTTACAGCCCTTTTTACCACCTTCCTTACAAAAGAGAGATGAGTAGCCACTGACCCCATGGCCACATCTTTACTTTAGATGCTTTAGAGTGTTACTGCTTTTGACTAAAGTGTTGAATAATGTCAAGACATAGATTCTGACATCAGATGGATTGAGTGTGAATACTAACATTGCCACATACTAATAACTTTATTTCCTTGAACACCTCTTTAGGTCTCCATATCTTTATCTGTAAAACAATGATTATAAGGAGTAATACTTACTCAGTGTGAGTTTTGTGAGAGTTAAAAGAATTCACATAAAGTACTTAGAAGAGTACCTGGCAGTATTTACTGTTACTTGATGTTAGGAGTCTATTTTCATATCCATACTTTGATTCCAAATTTAGAAGAGTCTGTACCAGCAATCATATCTTGGGTTATAGTACCATTTGTTATAGTACCTAAATCAAGGTTATTATTAAGGTCATTGTTTTGAAATCAAATTATTTCTTGTATGTATATGTGCAGGTTTCCGTAGATGATCGCCTTAAACAGCTTCAGGAGGCCCATAGAGATTTTGGGCCATCCTCTCAGCATTTTCTCTCTAGTAAGTACCAATAAGCTCATTTCCAGTTAATTCATTAATTGAATCAGCGTATTATTTCACTTTCACTCAAGGAACTGTATCCTTTGCTATAAATATGTGTCCTTTATTAGATGAATATAAATAAAGAAGATCTCAACATCAGTGACCAATCAATACCTAGTGCTTATTGGTTACTGTTTCCATCATCTGGTCGTGGTAAGTCTTTGAAGTGAAGCAAAAATTAATTCATCTTTAGCTAGAGTTTTTCACTGAACCATCTGTTGTAATAACTAATATAGTATCCTATTGCTATGCCATATGCAAAGATTTTGAACTTTTTCACAGTAAAGAAATCATTTTTATATTTAACAATTTTTAATTAATTTTCCTACTTAAAAAATGCATGTTTATTTTCAATGCACCTGGAGACTTAAAAAGCAAAAAAAAAAAAAAATTCCCCATAAATCTTTGAGAAGATTCTGGTTTATTAGGCTCACTGCAATCATACTTAGCTTTTCTGCTAATTAAATATTGCAGATTTAGCCAAAGCACATATGTAGGGTTTTATGCAATAGTCTTCAACTGAAGTTTTTCATCTTATGAACTGACTGTTCATGAGATCTTTAATAAGTAATTTGAGCTCTTTTATCACTCACTGCTAAGGAAATTAAAGAATATAAGATTCAGAGTCACCCAGATTGAGATTAAAATATTAATTTTCCCTTTTACCAGGACTGTGAAGTCCTGAAAGTTCATTTTTTTATCTTAAAGTTACTAAAATAATGCTTATTTTCTCTGATTGCCTTGAGATTTAAATACGAAAACATACCAAGTTACACAAAACACCTTGCACAGTTCTTGGCACCAGGGTTTTCTCTAAATGTTGTTCCTTTCCTTTCCTTGTCTCTGGAAAACAAATGTAAGCAAACAGTTTAATTTAATAAGTGAAGGTTGAAACTTAATGCAAAGCTAATTTTTCCAATTATGGTACCTTTGTATCTACAGTCATAGAGAAAACTGAAATAATATCGTGTCTTCCAACTAAATTTATTGCATTTATGTTTTCTCTTAATATTTGCCATGCTTGATAATTTGCTTTACCTCAATTCAAGGTCAGGCTTTTCTTACTCTCACAATTTCAAGAATCCTAATCAGTCGTTGCTGATCCTCCTGTCCTACGCCGCTCCAGTGCTCAAGCCAGCTCTCCCGGGTGTGGGTCTGTGTCTCTGTTTCATCTCTCCCTGTCTCTCCCCGGTCCCTCTCACCCCATCACTCCCACACCTGTTTCACACACCTGAGCTCTTAGGTAGCCTGTCTTTGAAATGTTGAGTCCTTCCTGGAATATGCTGTCTACCTGGATGCCATAGTGAATTTCCAAAGTTTGGATGCTGTCCATGTTCATGAGTAAATAGGTTTGCTTCATTATTCATTAGCTATGAATTACCCCAGATTGCTTGCACTTAATTTTATGGAACATAGAGCTATATGCTGAGACCAAAGTAAAGAGAAATTTAACAAATCATTGAGACTCTATAGTTCTACAGTGTATGTATTTACTAATATTGATGAAACTGAACACTTTCACCTAGTAACCATTCTTTCATAATAGAAATCAAACTCTTGCTCTTTAGCAAGTGAAACATTGTAAAAATTGTGAAACTCCAGCACATTGCCCTTCATTGCCTGGCATGGACAGTCCAGAGGGTCAAAGTTATTCAAATCAAAACAATCATTAAAATGAATGGAGAATTATACCAAAAAAATCCCAATTAATAAATTTAGTAATTGTTATCCACTGCTGCTTGAAATCTTTGGCTTTATTAAATTTCTTGAACTTTAGCCATGGTTATGAAAGGAGCCTGTTTAGTTAGGCACAAAATAAAGACTGACCTATTAATTTGGTGCCAGTGCTGAAAAGAGGTTGGCTCTAATGAGAAATTTAATATACCTAGTTCCACATTGTCATCCTCCTTTTATTCTTTCATGGACATAGTTCAAGAAGGAAATGCTCACACTTTAGGAGGAGAGGAAGGGTTGTTGAATAGAAATATTTCTGACTGGTGGTCCGAAATCCTGAAATCATGTTTGGGTTCAGCCATTTATTTTTGGGCGAGTTATTTCATGTCTAATATTTAGTTTCTCATTGTTGGCTTCCTTATTAACAGACATATTGAAAATGCTTTGCAGAGTTCAAAAGGTTAAATACTAGTAAGTAGGATTATGACACCCTATTCAGGAGAAAAAAAAAAAAACATTAGCGACAACTGGTTATATGAGAATCTAGTGATATTTGCAACACTTTAGATGGATTTGCTTGTTTTTTAGTTTATTTACCAAAATTCCTTAAAGGTTCTAGATGCATAGGTACAATTCTACTTAGATAAGTCTTAAAATAATTAGTTTAATGTAGAATAAAATTTTTATAAATAGTAAATGGAATTGTAAAAATTTTGTACCTCAGTAAAACAAAACATAAAATCTCAATCATAGTGCTGTCTAGTGTATAAAAGTAGGGAACTGTATTTCCTGTGCATTTCAGATGAAAATAAGTATTCAGAATTATTCTATCTAGATAATTGCCTTAGTTCTTTAAAACCTTTGGGCTATGTTTAATTTTCCTCTTTTAAAATCCATATAATTGAGTTTGTTTAAATGACATCTGTACTAGTTATTCTGTGCCTATGAAACAAAGTGAAGAGTATTATTAGTGACCTGGAAAATTCAATCTTAAGAAATCTAATTTAAAATCTTGGTATACCTAGATTGTAGATTATACCTAGATTTTGCCTAGGTAAAATTAACTTTGGTTTAAGCTTATTCAGAATTTATACAGCGTATGTATTTTCTAATAAGTTTTAAATGTTGATTGTTAGAAACAATAAAATGTGATTTTTAAAAATATTTATATCAACAGGTTCGATTAGAGTTGGCATTAGAATTTGAGACTGTACTGTTTCACATTTATATGCTTTAAATGAATCTCTAAAGCCACTCTTTGTTTGGCCTAGCATATTTCGTAATTATAGGAATCCAGCAGTTCTCATTGAATTTGCTATAAACATATTCAGTTGTTTTGCATTAAGGTGTAAGACATAAGAGTTAGAAGTGTTTCTAATAACCTCCGTTTGTTTCTCCAGCTTCAGTCCAGCTGCCATGGCAAAGATCCATTTCACATAATAAAGTGCCCTATTACATCAAGTAAGTTGATTTTAATTCTCCTTTATGATACCAAGACAATAAAATTGTGTTAATAACTTAAGAGGCTTTTCCCATGTAACTTTAAAAACTGGATTTCAAACCTATTATGGGAAGGAATTTATATGTTTATATGGATATAAAGAATATATATTTAATATTTGAAAAAATTAGTTTAAAGATAAGACTGATATTTGTAATTCATTATATTAGACAATAGATAATATAGCTGATATTTTTATAAAGCAGATATTAAAATATTCGGGGAGAAGGACAAAGTTCCTAAATATTCTTGACATAATGAATACAGTTTCTCCAACTGTATTGCTTCTAAGCCATTTGTGTCTTCCAGAAAATTCATCTAAAAAGCACTTGTACTCTTCTCATTTTAGTCCACCAAAAAGAAACAGGGTTTTATCATTAAAAAGTTTAATATTTTCAAGTTTTTTCTCAACTTGTGGAAATTATCTGCAGTTAGTTTAGGTTTATTATCCCGCACTTTTCTTGTCAACTTGACAATTTCTCCTTTTTTACATAGTTTTTTCCATATTATGTAATATTTTATAAATTTTGTATGAGTTACATAAGGTCTGCATAGGATATGATCCTTGCCTGTCTGTGTGTTGTCATTGGGCAGAATGGTAAACTACATCTTCTGAAATCCCTTGAAGTGTAAGTTATTGATTTACAGTGGGGTAAAGGTGATGAGAGTTGTAGTTGAATGTATTTTATATATAAGGTGAATGGTGGCTTCGTTTTGAGAGAAAAAGTTCACTATTGTCAGGAGTTAACTATGTCTCAGATTAGTCCTATGACCATAGGCAAGTCAGGTGAAGATGTCTCTGCCAAGTTTCTTTTATATCTTTCCTAAAGTGTCATGTGGTATCTCCAAAACTTGTGCCAAGGCTAATAGTCTATTTTTCCAGTATCCCTCTTCCTAAAAACTATGTGTGTGAAATCAAAATGCTTACAAAATGCCATTTACCTATGAAGGTTTTATTGTGGTCTGAAATATATCCTCATATTTAAAAAAACAAATAATTTTGCCATAGTCATAGCAAATATAATAAGCAATATATGTTACATTGTCTTGAAACAACTTGATACTTTTATCAGTGTATAATCTACCATGTACTGAGTTGTGATAAATTTAGTATAAGGTAGCAAAGTGGTGGATTGGTATCAAATGTATGCAAGTATAAAGGGAAAGAAGTCACAGGCTCTACAAACTGACATCTTTATTAAGAGAAGATGCTCTGGAAATAAGTTCATCTGTACCATTTTTCTGGAGTCCATATATATGCAGTAATATACAGTGTCTGTTTTTCTCTTTTTGACTTACTTCATTCTGTGTGATAGATTCTAGGTGTATCCATGTCTCTGCAAATGACCCAATTTTGTTCCTTTTATGGCTGAGTAGTATTCCACTGTATATATGTGCCATATTTTTTAAAAATTTATTTAATTGGAGGCTAATTACTTTACAATATTGTGATGGTTTTTGCCATACATTCGCATGAATCAGCCATGGGTGTACATTTGGTCCCCATTCTGAATCTCCCTCCCACCTCCCTCCCCATCCCATCCCTCAGGCAGTCTACCAGCCCTGAGCACCCTGTCTCATGCATCGAACCTGTACTGGCGGTCTTTTTCACATATGATAATATACATGTTTCAATGCTATTCTCTCAAATCATCCCACCCTCGCCTTCTCCCACAGAGTCCAAAAGTCTGTTCCATACATCTGTGTCTCTTTCTCTGTCTCACATATAGGGGTCATCATTACCATTTTTCTAAATTCCATATATATGCATATATATACTGTATTGGTGTTTTTCTTTCTGACTTACTTCATTCTGGATAATAGGCTCCAGTTTCATCCACCTCATTAGAACTGATTCAAATGCATTCTTTTTAATAGCTGAGTAATATTCCATTGTATATATGTACCACAGCTTTCTTATCCATTTGTCTGCTGATGTATATCTAGGTTGCTTCCATGTCTTGGCTGCGATGAGCTGGCTGCAATGAGCATTGGAGTGCATGTGTCTCTTTCAGTTCTGGTTTCCTCGGTGTGTATGCCCAGCAGTGGGATTGCTGGGTTGTATGGCAGTTCTATTTCCAGGTTTTAAGGAATTTCCACATTGTTCTTCATAGTGGCTGTGCTAGTTGGCATTCCCACTGACAGTGTAAGAGGGTTCCTTTTTCTCCACACCCTCTCCAGCATTTATTGTTTATAGACTTTTTGATAGCAGCCATTCTGACCAGTGTGGGATGGTACCTCACTGTGGTTTTGATTTCCATTTCTCTGATAATGGGTGATGTTGAGCATCTTTTCATGTGTTTGTTAGCCATCTACATGTCTTCTTTGGAGAAGTATCTGTTTAGTTCTTTGGCCAATTTTTTTTTTCAGATGGTTTTTTTTTTTTATGGAATTGAGCTGCATGAACTGCTTATATATTTTTGAGATTAATGCTTTGTCAGTTGCTTCATTTGCTATTATTTTCTCCCATTCTGAAGGCTNTCTAGTTGCTTTAGGTGTAGAGTTAGGTTATTTATTTGACTTTTTTCTTGTTTCTTGAGGTAGGCCTGTAATGCTATGAATCTTCCCCTTAGCACTGCTTTTACAGTGTCCCATAGGTTTTGGGTTGTTGTGTTTTCATTTTCATTCATTTCCATGCATATTTTGATTTCTTTTTTTATTTCTTCTGTGATTTGTTGGTTATTCAGAAGTGTGTTGTTTAGCTTCCATATGTTTGTATTTTTAATAGTTTTTTTTCCTGTTCAGTCAGTTCAGTCACTCAGTCATGTCCGACTCTTTGCAACCCCGTGAACTGCAGCACGCCAGGTCTCCCTGTCCATCACCAACTCCCGAAGTTTACCCAAACTCATGTCCATTGAGTGGGTGATGCCATCCAGCCATCTCATCCTCTGTGATCCCCTTCTCCTCCTGCCCTTGATCTAGGTTCACAGAGTTACATGGAGAGGAGAAGAGGGAGGAGGGAGATAGAGGTGACCAGGAGGAAAAGAGGGAGAATCAAAAGGGGAGAGATCAGTCTCGTCAGTAATCAATTCCCTGTTTGCTCTCCACAGTCTGGAACACTCAGAGACGTTCACGGAGTTCCATAGAGAAGAGAAGAGGGAGGAAGGAGGTAGAGGTGACCAGGAGGATAGGAGGGGCAGTCAAAAGGAGAAAAACCAATCTAGCCAGTGATCAGTTCCCTAAGTGGTCTCCACAGCCTGGAACACCCAAAGAGATTCACAGAGTTAGGTAGAGAAGAGAAGGGGGAGGGAGGAGATAGAGATGACCTGGAGGAGAAAAAGGAGAGTCAAAAGGGGAGAGAGCAATCAAGTCAGTAATCACACTCCTAAGTAAAAATGGGTACTGAAGATTGGATTCTTAAAGGTACAAAATTGATTAAAAATACCAAAAAGCCAAGATTAAAAATCTAGAGTAGAGTTTAGACTCTCCAAAATATAATATTCAAAAAACAAAACAAAATTGCAGAAGTTATTAAAAAAATATGAAATTTGCTTTAAAAATAGGGCCTTTTGCAGGGTAATAGTAGGTTAAAAATGAAAATTAAAGGAGTAATAAAGAACTTAAAAATTTTTTTAAAAATTAAAAAATTATAATAGTAATGTATATCTAGGAATTTCTCTGGAGCTGTTGAGGGCAGTGTGGGGTCAGTTCCGTTTCAGATAGTTCCTTGTTCCAGCTTATACTTCTTCTCAAGGTCTATAGGTCCCTTCCAATGTAGTCAATGCTAACTACAGGGGTTTTAATCTGTTGCACCTGTCACTTCCAAAGCAGTTCTCTCTTTGTTTATTTTGGCTTCCTCTGTTTGCAGGTCTCTTCAGTATCTAACTTCCACCCTGACACAAGGGGGCGAAGGTGGTCATTTATTTAGGCTCGCTTGTTCAATTGTGCTGTGGGGTGGAGAAGCACTGCAAACAAATATCACTGGCGTACCTGGGGAGTGCTTGCAGTGTCTGGGCCACACTGGGTTTGCCCGCGCTCACGGTTTGTGTGCTTTCCCAGTCTGCACTGCTCAGGCTCCAGGTTGCTCTGCAGAAACTGTCTAAATCAGGCCCTGCATTGCGTGCACTTCCCAGGTCTAAGCCACTCAGGCTCAGGTTCTCCGGTACTCCACAAAGGCGCAGACTCGGTTGGGCCTGCGTTTTGTGCCCTTCCCAGGTCTGAGCAGCTCAGGTGACCAGGTGCTTGGTGAGCGCACACTCCCCAGGTGTAGTGGGGCATCTTACCACCTCCCTGGTCCCATCCTCTCGGTTTCCCCGGTGCGCAGCGGGAGCGCCATCTCGGCTGTGTCCTGTTTCTCCTCTGGGGAGCTGATCTCTGGCTGTGATCCTCCACAAAGGCGCAGACTCGGTTGGGCCTGCGTTTTGTGCCCTTCCCAGGTCTGAGCAGCTCAGGTGACCAGGTGCTTGGTGAGCGCACACTCCCCAGGTGTAGTGGGGCATCTTACCACCTCCCTGGTCCCATCCTCTCGGTTTCCCCGGTGCGCAGCGGGAGCGCCATCTCGGCTGTGTCCTGTTTCTCCTCTGGGGAGCTGATCTCTGGCTGTGATCCTCCTGGCGGATGTCAACCATCCAGGATCCCAGGAAGACTCAGTTAGCAACTGGGAGCCTGCTCGCAGTTTGGTAGAGGATGCCGTCTCTAGGGCCGAGTTGCCCCTTGCCTTCCGGCTCTGGCTGTCGCTAGCCTGTCTCCCTGCCTCCAGCAGGGGATGGGCTGGTTTGCTGCTGGCTAGCTCTCTGGTATTCACTCAGTCCTTTGTTCTGTGAGCAGGCCAGCAATGCCTTAGGTTAGAGCTTTTTGCGGGAAAGTTCTCTCTCTCTCTCTTTCCTCTTTTTTTTTGTCTCTGTCTTTGGCTATCCCACAGTTTGGGTTGCTATCTCACATTAGCTCCCTCAGATTGTCCTCAGGGCATTCAGGCCCAGTCCCTACCCTGAACAATGCAGCCCGCGCCTCCCTGTTCAAC